TACTTATACCAACCACCTCCAGCCAGCCAGCTACTGCCTACTTAAGCCAGTATCCTGAATGACATCTTCCTTCCCTCTCCCTGCATTTAACTGGCCACCAAGTCTTAGAGATCTTATGGCATAAATGTCCCCAGCAATGTTCCTTCTTTTCTGTCCCCAACTGCTGCTACCTTTGTTCGAACTCTCACAATCTCTTATCTCATCTGGAATATATCAGTCACCTCCTGGGTTCACTGCCTCCGTCTCTCTCCACATCTAATCCATTCTCTACAGCAACTAGAGTGACCATTCTGAAACACCAATTAGTCTTACTCTTCTCTAGTTTAAAGCCCTAACGTAGCTCCCGGTGCTCTTAAAATAAGGCACAAACTCCTTCACCTGGTGTTTGCTGTTTGCGATTTGCTTGCTTGGTCTTCTAACACAACTCCAGGACACCTGCCCTAGATCACCTCTCCCCAGACACAGCTGTTGTTGTTAGCTGCTGTCAAGTCAGCTCTGACTCACAGTCATATGTACACAGAGTAAGACATGGCCCGGTCCTGCGCCATCCTCACAATTGTTGCTAGGCTTGAGCTCATCATTGTAGCCACTGTCAGTCCATCTCATTGAGGGTCTTCCCCTTTTTCGCTGACCTACTTTACCAAACATGATCTCCTCCAGGGATTGGTACCTTCTGACCACATGACCAGGCAGAGTTAGGAAAGCCTCATCATCACTGTGATGATGCCCACACAAGCCTCTGTCATAGCCAGATAGACCTATTTTTCCCCCAGGGGACTGAGTTCTCCAAGGTAGGAATTTTGCCATATTTAGATTTTCCTGGGACTAGAACTTGACATATTGGTTCCAAGACCCTTTGTGACCTGACTCCAGCTGGAACCTTGGTTCCAGCAACTTTGGGTTTCTTTTCCTCTGTGACTCCAGTCACTACTCCCTTGCCTGAAATACTCCTTTACCTTCCACTTTTTGCCTGGAAAATGCCGTTTTCTTCCCCATCCCTCTCTCTTCTGTGCTTCCAAAGCGTAGACATATCTTTCCCATAGCACTTAACTCACTGGGGCTTTTTAAGGGCAAGAACCTTGTCTTGTTCATTTTTATATAAATTTCTAGGACATAAACCAACCAAAACCCATTGCCTTCAAGTCAATTCTGACTCAGTGACCCTGTAGGACAGAGGCCCTATTCAAAGACAGGACCAGGCAATGTTTTGTTCTGTACCCAGGGTTGCTATGAATTGGAACCACTTGGTGGCACCTAACAACAAAAACAATAACAACAACACAGTCTTTACAGAAGCAGATTGTGAAATCTTTCTCCCACCTGAGTGGCTGCTGGATTTGAACCACTGACCTTTAGGGTAGCAGCTGAGCACTTAACCACTGTATCACCAGGGCTCTTTTTCTCGGACATAATAGACACGAAAGATATTTTTTGAATAAATTAATGAATTATGTTTTGGTCATCAAGTGGTGCTCCATACATGTGCTGCTATACATGTGGACTTCACAGGAGTACAAAAGAATCACACTGACTACATCTGTAGCAAGAGACAATGGAGAAGTTAAATATCTTCAGCCAAAACAAGGCCAGAAGCTGATTGTAACAGACCATCAACTTCTCAGATGCATGTTCAAGTTGAAGTTGAAGATAATTAAAACAAGTCCACGAGAGCCAAAAATGACCTTGAATATATCCTCCTGAATTTAGAGACCATCTAAAGAATAGATTTGATGCATTGAACACCAATCACTGAAAATCAGAGGAATTGTGGGATGACATCAAGAATATCATCCATGAAGAAAGCAAGAGGTCATTAAAAAGATAAGAAAAGAATTGAAAAGACCAAAATGGATGTCAGAACAGACTCTGAAACTTGCCCTTAAGTGGAGAGTAGCTAAAGCAAATAGAAGAAATGACAAGATCAAAGAGCTGAACAGAAGATTTCAGAGAACAGCTCAAGAAGACAAAGTCAATTATTATACTGTAATGTGCCAAGACTTGGTGTTAGAAAACCAAAAGGGAAGAACATGCTCAGCATTTCTCAAGCTGAAAGAACTGAAGGAAAAATTTAAGCCTCGAGTTGCAGTATTGAAAGATTCTACAGGCAAAATACTGAATGATTCAGGAAACATCAGAAGAAGATGGAAAGAATACACAGAGTCACTGTACGAAAAAGAACGGGTCAATGTTCACCCATTTCAGGAGGTGGCATATGATCAAGAACCAACAGTATTGAAGGAAGAAGTCGAAGCTGCACCAAAGGAATTGGCAAAGAACAAGGCTCCAGGAATTGATGGAATGTCCATTGAGATGTTTCAAAAAATGGATGCTGTGCCGGAGGCACTCACTTGGCTATGCCAAGAGATTTGGAAGACAGCTATCTTGCCAACTGAATGGAAGAGATCCATATTTGTACCCATACCAAAGAAAGGTGATCCCACAGAATGTGGAAATTATCAAACAATATCATTAATATCACATGCAAGTAAAATCTTACTGAAGATAATGCAAAAACAGTTGTAGCAGTATATTGACAGAGAGTTTCTAGAAATGCAAGCTGGATTCAGAAGAGGACATGGAATGAGGGATATCGTTGCTGATGTCAGATGGACCTTAGCTGAAAGCAAAGAATACCAGAAAGATGTTTACTTATGTTTTATTGACTATGCAAAAGCATTCGATTGTGTGGATCATAACAAATTATGGATAACATTGAGAAGAATGGGAATTCCAAAACACTTAATTATACACATGAGGAACCCGTACATAGATAAAGAGGCTGTCATTTGAACAAAACAAGAGGATACTGCATGTTTTAAAATCAAGAAGAGAGTGTGTCAGGGCTGTATCCTTTCACCATACTTATTCAATTTGTATGCTGAGCAAATAATCCAAGAAGCTGGATTATATGAAGAAGAAGGTGGCATCAGGATTGGAGGAAGACTCATTAACAAGCTGTGATATGCAGATGACACAACTTTGCTTGCTGAAAGTGAGGATGACTTGAAGCACTTGCTGATGAAGATTAAAGACTACAATCTGCAGTATGGATTACACCTCAATATAAAGAAAACAAAAATTCTCACAACTGGTCCAATAAACAGCTTCCCAATAGATGGAGAAAAGATTGAAGTTGTCAAGGACTTCATATTACTTGGTTCTATGATCAACACCAATGGAAGCAGCAGTCAAGACATCAGATAACGTATTGCATTGGGCAAATCTGCTGCAAAAGACCTCTTTAAAGTGCTGAAGAGCAAAGATGTCTCTTTGAAGACTAAAGTGTGCCTAACCCAAGCCATGGTATTTTCAGTTGTCTCTTATGCATGTGAAAACTGGACATTGAATAAGGAAGACTGAAGAAGAGTTGATGCTTTTGAGTTGTGGTGCTGGAAAAGAATGCTAAGAGTATCATGGACTGCTAGAAGGACTAACAAATCTGTCCTTGAAGAAGTGCAGCTGAAATGCTCCTTGGAAGTGAGAACGGCTAGACTTTGTCTCACCTACTGTGGTCATGTTGTCAGAAGGAACCATTCCCTAAAGAAGGATATCATGCTTGGCAAAGTGGAGGGTCAACGAAAAAGGGGAAGGGCCTCAACAAGATGGATTGACACAGTGGCTGCAATGATGGGCTCAGGTACAGCAAGGATTGTGAGGCTGGCATAGGACCGGGAAGTGTTTCATTCTGCTGTGCATAGGGTCATTATGAGTCAGAGATGACTCGACAGCACCTAACAACAACAACAACAGTGCTGCTCTAATGGAAAATACCAGAAATGGATGGCTTTAACAAATAGGAGTTTATTTTCTTATAGTTTTGGAGGCTAGAAGTTCTAGTTCAAAGTGCCAGTTCTAGGGGCTTGGTGAAGGTCTTTCGACCTTAGGCTTCAGCTCTGCCTCTTGTTCCTGGCCCACTGAAGCTGGAGGCTTCTCTTAACTCAGGCAGCTGCTGAGGCTGACAAACCCAAGGTTGACAAATAAAATGGCAAAGTCTCAAGATTACCAAACAACACGGCAGGCCACTAGTTCAAGTCCAGAGACAGTTCCAAGATCGGCAGGAAACACGGCTGGCTGCTGAATGAAGACTCGGCTACATGCAGGGTCCAAGGGTGCCAAAAAGCGCAGAGACCTTTCTCAACACTTCTCCTTATATGCTGGAAGCAGACCACATCCCTAAGGCAGCTACTTAATTGCTCCAGTAGATTCCGTCATGAAGCTGATTACCATTCTCATCAGGGGAAAAAATGCATTCAGTGCTCCTTAGCCAAGTTGACACATGACCTTAACTACCACAAATTAATTGGTGCCAGGTGCCTTTGCATCATTGTATCTGAAATCTGCATTGTAATGTGCAAAAGGGCTCTTTTCTCCATCTTCAATGCTTGAAGGACTGTGGTGTACACTTTCAAAGAACCAGTTTAAGTGTTCTGCGGTATGGCATTGCATAGCCATCTTCTCAGGGAGTTGGTGAGCACCAAATGCTAGTCCAAGAATGACACTATGGTCACACAGCCATTATTGGCTCAGCCCATCTCTTGCTTATTTTAAGACATTTTCTGAATAGAGGTCAAGAACATGGTCTTGGCTTCAGATAGCTCAGGTTCCAGTGCTGGCTTTGCCACTTACTAGCATTTGGCTTTGAGGTTTCAGTAACTCACCTGAAAAATGGGACTAATATTACAGGCCATGGAAGGATAAAGTAGTAACATTACCTAGCACATGGGGGAAAAGCTCAGTTAATGGTGGGGGTGGCCGAAGTTGCCGTGAGGGGTAAAATGCAGCCAAAGAGGCGGATTTCTGGCCCGGGATGGTGACAGTGATGGTTTAGGCCCCAGAACCACGTAGGCCGCCGTCCTCTCCTCGGGCTCCTCGCCACCCTCCTCCCTGCCCAGTTCCCAGGTTCCAGCCCTGACCTGCTTCCTCCCCTGGCCAGGTCACGCTACAGGTCGAAGGCTGTGATCGCGGTGGGGGAACCTTGTGTGGGCGGAACTCCAGTGCAGCAGGGGGAGGCTTCCGGGAGAGCGGCACAGGCAACGGGTCGGCGGAGGCAATAAAGCGCCGGACGCCGGGCCGACCATGGACGCTTGACAACCTGCGGGCAGGCGCTGGGAGGCCGAGCCAGTGACTCAGAGGACGGCGAGGCGGCGCGGACAGGTAGGGGCTGGTGAGAGGGTGGGCCGTGTGGAGGGCGGCGCGCTAGGCCTGGTCGAGCGGTCCGGCCGAGCGCTCGCCTCAGGGAAAGCCCGAGTCCACGCCGCGCCGCGCCGCCCCGCCCCCGCCCATGGGAGCACGCCCCGTGGATCCTCAGCCTGCGCCCGCGGCCCTGCCTGGAGCACGCAGCCCGCCCCCCGCCGCGAAGTCCCTCCCGGCCGGCGACCCCTGACTTCCGCGGCGCGTCTGCTCTCGCTCGCCAGCTCCTCAAAGACTGCCTCTTCCCTCCTCTCTCTCCCATCCAAATAGCGCTCTCCCTTGGCTGCAGTCCATCTCACCTGGCCTTCGCCGCTTCTCGGACCCTTCTACTCAGAAGAAAGCGATTTTCACCGCCTCCTCACCTTCCTGCTCCCACAGGCTCTGCCTCTTAGGCGGAGAGCTTTTGGAGGGACAGAGGCGTCTGTCTGTTACGTTCCCACCTCTCCACCCCCGCTCCCTCCGATCCTGGCCCCTTGCAGACAGATCCCCATCTGTCTCTTCACACCGGTCCACCTAATAGGGGATTTTCTTTCCATCTCTCCTGACCGTCATGTTTCCACCCCTCCCTTTCTTCTCCGCTCCCTTACCCTACCCTGCTTAGAGCCCTTTGTTCCTTAGCACTTCACTTTTTCTGTTCTTAACAAGACCTTCTTAGGTGACATGACACAAATGTTTCTCTAATACTTTGAAAGGGCTGCCACTCTTTGTGCCAGCGTCCACCCAAAAACTTGTTTCTTTGCACCAAACTGCCCTTTGAATTGTTGTGTGCTTCACTGCTACACCCTCTCACCTTAATCTTGTCCTGCTGCCCCAGTGTGCATCATCCTCAGAGGAGTAATCTTACACAGGACTCCTGCAAGTAGGTGCAGAGGGTGTATGTGTCCGCACATACACAGCATGTAGTTAGGTTATACAGCTGAGGGGCCTTCAGGATGGCAACACAGTGTCTTCACTGTTTTCCAAAATCTTTTGTTGCTTTCCTGAGGTTTTGTACAAGTTCTGAAGTCATGTCTGGTAAAAATGCCCCATACCAGAAGGAGGTCACCTATAGGGAGTCACACAGCATGTGCTTTCTTGTTTGGATGTGTTACTGCTTATCTTTAGAAATGATTTTTCCTTCTTATGCTTAAGTGACTTCTTGAATGAGTGGAGACATCTTTCTTGTCTGCTTTTTGTGTTTTCCTTATTTGTTTCTGGCTGTGGTGGTGGTTTTGATGCCATCCTGGCTTACATCTGGCTCTGCTGTGGATGGGTAGTACCTTCTGTTTCTTAACCAGAGTCTGTCATTGAGATGGGTATGAAACAGCTGTGGAGGAACTCCTGCGTGCATCTTGGGTTCTGGTCAGGTGTAAGGAGTTAGAAGGTACTGCCTCCGGGGAAGGAGCAGATGGGAATGAGGAGGGTTTTACCAAGTGTATTTCAAACCTAGAAGGGGGACAAACCAAACTAAGCCAAACTCACTGCTATCGAGTCAATTCTGACTCATACCAATCCCTATTGGGTTTCCAAGGCTATACATCTTTATGGAAGCAGATTGCTTCATCTTCTGTGGAGCAGCTGGAAGGTTTGAACTGCCGACCTTCTAGTTAGCAGCCAAATGTCTTAGGCACTGTACCATGAGGGCTCCTTCAAAATGAGGACAAGATCCTTTTAACTCCAAGTTAGCCATCTAGCATCTGGACTCAGAGCTGTTTGCTCTGAACATTCCCAGTCATTCTGGTATCTGACCCAATAGTAATAAGCATAGACTTTGCAAAAGAAAAGGAGGAATGCCTGACACACTTTTCTTTTGCACAGATCTCAAGGCCAGAGAATGGCAGGTGAACAGAAACCCTCAAGTAATCTCCTCGAACAGTTTATTTTACTAGCCAAAGGTACCAGTGGCTCAGCCCTCACTGCTCTCATCAGCCAAGTCTTGGAGGCTCCTGGAGTGTATGTCTTTGGCGAACTGCTGGAGCTGGCCAATGTGCAGGAGGTAAGAGCTGATTCCTCCCACTCTGTCTTCTGTGTTCTGACCGTCCTACACTCTTAGCTTTCTAAGGTATTGCAGTTGGGGAAGCATTGTGGACCTGTGAGGTACCCTGGTGAGGGAGGTGTAGGAATTGGTGGGGCAGCGGGGAGTGGGAGGGTGATGTCCTGGCTCCTTCTATTTCCTATTTCTATCCAAACTCAGAGCAAGATTGGATCAGGTTGCTGACAATCAGAAAGATAGAAGAAAAAGGCAAATTGAAACTGGTAACTTAGAAAAGTAGTGCTTTAAGCCTGGACTGATGTTGAGTAGAGGACGTTTCAGGTGTTCTAGGGACAAAAAAAAATTCCGCTGCAGATGTAGATGAGAAAGATCAGCCGGGTCTATAAATAGCAGAAAATGATTGCTACTGAAAATGAAGTGGGCAGGAGTAAGGAATAGATTGTTCCAATGACACAGGGCAACGGTGAGCCACGGTAGATGGATCACAAAGGTAGGACATGAGAAGCTGGGAGGCAGTCCTTCTTGTTTCTTGTTTTGTTTGCTTGTTTGGTTTGTTGTTGTCATTAAGACCTTGGGTATCCAGTTTTTGTCATCGTCTATTAAAAAATGAGGTCTTTTGAATGATCAGATGGAGCTGAGAGACGGCAGGCAACCTATGCTTTTCAACCTCTCTTTCCCACTTGGGACACTTTTAGTTTTTAATTGTAAATTTTTGTTTAATGTTTGTCTTACTTACTAGACTGTAAGCTCTGTGAGGGTGAGGTCTTTTGTGTTCACCATTGTTTCCTCAGAGCTTCATGTCTAGCCTGATACATGCAGGCTTTCGGTTAAAAAATTGAATTTACCAGAGATGGAAAATGAATTCTGTGAGGAAAACCTAAGAGAATTGGGTTCCTTTTTCAATAGAAGGGATGGCCAATGGATTTGTTCCTATAGGTTCACGAAAAGCCTGAATAAATATGCTAGGTGGTACATTTGTATCTGTGGAAGATTGGCTAAGAGGAAGTGGATGGAAATTCAAACCGTAAAGACCTTACAGATTTAGGCCAGTGGGAGAAGTTTTGGAGTTTCTGCTCTAGAGGAAAAGAGACAGTCTATTCAGTTGGTTTTGTAGTCATCTGTTTGAAGGGTGGGGATGAGGCTTGATGGTCTTTAGGAGGTCTCTTCCAGATCTGATCCAGGGACCTGAGGATGTTCTTGGAACCTGAGAAGGTAGACTTGGGTGTCAGGATGCCCCAGTGAGCGTGCTCAGCAAATTACCTTTACTCTCTCTGCAGTTTTGTTTTTGTTTTCATATGTGAACTAGTTGTCTTCTAGTGGTCTGAAGTTATGGGTGCAGTTCTTGGAGCCCATTTTTAAAAGGTGGACGAAATGGAGTGGTATCGCTGTTGGTGTCTGCTGAATACCACTTGGATGTTCCTGTCTGAACTTCACCGAGTTTGGTAAACTGCAACAGGAGGAGGGGCGTGTTTGCAAGTGAAAGGAACACCCACTGAAGAGCAGTTCAGGCAAAGCTGTGGCTCTTTGTCATCTGTGTCAGTGAGGAGTAATTGTAATGAAACTTTTGATTTGGGGAAGCCTGATAGCCTGGTTCTTGGCCCAGCCTGGCTTTTCCGTGGCACCTTATGCTGTGCTAACTCATTCCAGAATCCATAGTCCACGTGTGTCTTGAAACTTTGCTCAGTTTGGATTGATAGTGGCTGATTCTGTATCTGCCAAACTGGTATGTGGACACAGCTGCTCCAGCATTCACTTGAATGGCCAGGGAAGCCTGAGAAAACATGAACTGCCTACAGCACTTAGTGCTGTATGTATGTGTGTGATGAACTTGCATGCTTGGGCATCCTGTGTCAAGTGTGAAATGTGTCTCCTAAAGGAAGAAAAATTAACTTTAGGGCCTTCATAATCTTACTTATGTTCTCCTTAGTCGAGAGCTGGAAGGAACTTCAGGGGCTAAGTAGTCACACAGTGTGGGAAGTATGGCCATGGCATCTTAGGCACATGGTCACCTTCCTCTGAACACTTAGATAGACAGTGATGGATAGACAGCTTGGGCTGTGGTGAACTTTTGTTTTCTCCTCAGCTTGCCGAAGGAGCAAATGCTGCTTATTTGCAGCTGCTGAACCTGTTTGCCTATGGAACATATCCGGATTATATAGGTGAGTTGGTTAAGATCCTTCAAAAGAATTGTGTTTCTCTGTTTGAAGGTGTTACCTCCATGAGATCATTGTGGTTTGGGATGGGAACTGTTTGGCTTGAGTGCTTCCCATTTTACTGGTCTCTGTAGGTGATCTTAACATAGTGAATTGCCCTTCTCAGCTTTTATTTGCTGGTAGGTAAAATAGGGGCTGTGTTTAGGCTCACTTACATGTAACCCATGGGCCTTGAGTTGACTCTGACCCATAGCAACCCTGTAGGACAGAGTAGAACCACCCCATAGGGTTTCCTGAGCATTTATCCATCTTTTAAGTTTTTGTAGCCCTTTCTTGCATTCTGTAGTCTACATTGCCATTCTCATTCGTTGGGCAACTGACTCATTTAAATTCGAATCTTAAGTGTCAGTAATGAAGTGTTTGCATATCTACACTGTAACTTACATTCCTTCCAAACCATTTCTTCCTGGCGTCCCTAGTTTATTTTAGTAGTGTGCCAGCAGCTGATACTCAAGGCCTTCCCTCTTGTGTCCCTGGCTCCCCCTTCTCTCTCACTGGCTGCTTCTTCCCCCCTGCTGCTGTCAGACCGCACAGTGCCGCTTTCTGGTGTATCGAGTTTTTCTCACCTTTGTTCTTTCCGCTGCATGTGCCCTGTCTCCACCCTCACTTATTACAGAGGCAGCATTGTGTAGACTCCAGGACCAGGCTGCCTGCTTTAAAGTCTACTCATATGTCCTTCACTGTACAACTTTTGTGCCTTAGTTTCCTTACCTGTAAAAAGGTGGTGACGGTAGGTCTTCAGTCCCTCCCCTGTACTCCTGGAGGCAAGCTGTTGCCGAATTGAGAATTTGGGGGCTTTATAAAGGTAATGAGATGCATGTACCGTTTTGTGCAACTCCTGCAGAGGCATGTGGCAGCACCTGGAATCAAATACAGCCATAATTTTGCAGGAAAATGAATATTCACAGCAAACGGAGTAGAACCCTGCCTCAGTTGAGGTCAGGAATGCTAGCAGATGGATTTTTGGCACTGTGCTTTAAAACAAAAACCAGTTTAGATTTAGCTTTTTAGATTCCAGCATTCTGGATAAGGATCGAGGACATTGAAATCTGTCTCGTGGGATGTGAGGCTTTGTTGGCTGTGCGGGTGTCTGTGTGCCTCTGTGTGTGTCTACACTGAGTAGAGCATGTTACCTGCAGCTGCTCCATTGTTAATTGTGTTTTTGTCTTGATTTCTGTGCTGGGTGGGACTGAGCATCGTCCAAGGCTCACCTCAGACCCCGTCTCCTCCATGAAGCCCTTTCTGCCCCTCCCCTGCACCCTCCCAGTGAGGTGCTGTCGCTCTTTCTCTCCTGATAGTTTGCCCCTTTCTTCTGGTGGTTCTGCCTCCTGTTTGTAGCTATTGAGATACTGGAGGTAAACCGGGGGCCAGGGTCAGTAAGTCACAACTCCAGGTGTCTGGGGCTACTGGACTTGTGCAACCCAGCAGCCCTGCAAGGACAGTTCGTTTATACTTGACCCCACAAACCACTGAAGATGGCACATTGCACACAGTGGGCTCAACAGAGACAGATTGAACTTAATGTCATGAGGGGCACAGATAGTGTTCCATAAGGTGATTGTCACATCCTTTGGTGCACTCCTGGAGGCAAGCTGTTGCAGAATTGAGAATTTGGGGGCTTTGTAAAGGTAATGGGTGAGACTGCGAGCCCCTATGTGTAGAGACTGTCTTGTCTTCTTTGAAGCACGTTGTCTTCCAGAGAAGAGAGGAGGTGCTGAGTCTCTGCCCAGTGAGTTACTGCAGAGTCGTTACAGTGATTCAGAGGTGGGTTTGGTTTGGGAAGTCTGTGAGCTTGTTCCACAAAAGAAATACTAATTTCATTTTGTGTCTTGATTTCTGTGGTGGGTGGGACTGAGCAGCCAACAAGGAGAGCCTGCCGGAACTGAGCACAGCTCAGCAGAACAAGCTGAAGCACCTCACCATCGTGAGCTTAGCCTCAAGGATGAAGGTACTGTCCCGAACCCTGTCCTGTCTTCCTCCTCACCCCGAGCCAGGCAGTCGTGGTGGCATTGATGAGGGACCCCCGGCTACACGCAGCAGAGTTGCGTCATAAATGCATACAGTTTGCTTGGCAGAGGAAGAGAGAGAAAGATGGCAGTAAAAATAGTGCAGACAATTACTATTTCATTCAGGAAAAGTCCACGCAGGGGTGATTGGGATGTGGTTGCTCTCAGTCCTGGCATGCCCTGGTGCCTCATGTGAGACCATTTTGTCAGACGAAAGGGAGACCAGTGTTTGACGTTGTGTGTATTTCAAACAGCACGGTGTCTCAAGGCAACTTGCCCACTTTGTGGCTCAGTGAGCTGAGCTAGTGCTGGAGTGAAAATTTGCAACATTGGACTTCCTGAGAGGTCGCTTTCATGACTTCGGAACAGTGTGGTGCATCTTTGACTCAAGCCTTTTGCTATAAGCTAAGTGTGCCAGACTGGCTCACTTCCACCCTCCTGAACTGTGCTTAGTGGCAGCAGATGATAGGCCAGGGGAATAAGAAAACAGGAAGCCACAAAGTCCACAGCCCCCAGGAAGCCTGGTACCCAATTCAGCTCTTTCCAGTTTTGCCGCGTCTCCATCTCTCTCTCTCCCTCTCCTCCCTTTCTCTTTCTCTCATGTACGTTCCTTTCCCGTTCAGTGCTGCGGTCTCTGAGAGGAGGGCTGTATCAGAGGTGGGGAGGCTGATCCCTTGGCTCAGAGCCTTTTTCTGGGCCAAGAAGCAGCTTTTTAATATGCTGGCTTCCTCAGGGACTTTTCAAGAGTGAGTAACTGTGATTTTTGTCTTGTGTGCTACTTCACACCCTTCTGTGAGATCTGTTGCACCCTACCACTGAGTTTGTGGCCTCAGTCCAGTTAGAAGCAGCCCGGTGCTCATGGTCTTTAGCAAAAATCCCAGTACAGTTTGTTTGTAGTTGGTTCTGGCCCTCTGCTCAGCCCCAGCCTGTTTCTGAGATTTTGGGGGTTGTGCCCTTGAACATACTTGCTTTTTGCATCCCCCTCTATGATGGACTTAAGAAGGTGGGTGGTTCTGGGGTTGCCATTTGAGTTTCTGCAATCCTTTTACCTGCTCTCGTCATGCTGGCGTTGCAGGCACAAGGCCTATTTTGTTAGGATTTCAGGACCTGACCTTTTTTCTTGTTGGAAGCAGGGACTTCAAGTGTAGCAAAGGGTAGGAGTGACTCTTTCCTCCTCATTTCTGCACCGTGTCGTTGTGAGCCCACCTATTGTCTGTGGATTTCTGGCCTTTGGCCATAGAAAACCCTCCTAGGATGCTTGCTGTTAACTGTCTTCTCTGCACTCACCTTCTTCCCATCTGTTTCTATAGATTTGACCACCGTGTTAATTTCCAAACTAGTAGTAATGGGTCGGAGGGCTTGCCAAGCACTGGGTGTGTAGATACCCTGTTGTCATGAAGTCACACGGAATGTTGGTACAGCCTGCTAGAGTTTGTATTATTGGAACATTGACAGTGGCTGCAAGGGTCTGAGAAAACAGATGAAAACTTCCAGATGACTTCTGAGCTGGCAGTCCCCACTGGCCACCTGTAGGTGGGTGCTCCGGCCAGCACGTTGTTCTGTTTTTCCTCTCCTGGGCAGGAGGCTAGCTCTTGCTGCTCTCTTGGCTTGGAGGCTGGTAACGATCTGGCATCCGGTGCAGACCCTGCAAGCTTCCAGAGGGTGGTGGAGTAGTGTGTACTGAGCAGCTCCCTTTTTCTCCTCTGGGGGGGGGTCTTTCAGATTCTGAGCGTGCTCCAGGGTGTGACAGCTAAAGGCTGGGCCAAGTCCAGGAAGGAGAGCACCCAGGAGAACACATTCTTAGAAGCTGCTGGGTCTCTTAGATCGTAGTTCTCATTGCTCCTCTCTCCATTGTTTATGGCCACAGATGCTAACGATTACCACCAGACTGCCTTCCCCAAGCCCTGAGGCAGCTGTTGCCTCTGTGGGGAAGGCCACCTACTCTTTCATGCTTGCCAGATGGTGTTGATGACTGTCACATGGCCTTACCTACAGTGTATCCCCTACTCCGTGCTGCTGAAGGACCTGGAGATGCGGAATCTCCGGGAACTGGAAGACCTCATCATTGAGGCTGTCTACACTGACATCATCCAGGGCAAGCTGGACCAGCGGAACCAGCTGCTGGAAGTGGATTTCTGCATCGGCCGTGACATTCGCAAGAAGGACATCAACAACATTGTCAAGACCTTGCATGAATGGTGAGACTTAGAGGAGGGGCCCCCTCTCTTCAGGGAAGGGGCTGTTGAGCATGTCTCCTGGGCCTCTGCATGGGGCAGTGTGCTCTCCAGGAGTCAGCGGCCCTCTGTGGGCTTGGGGTGAGTCTGGGGATTGCCTGGGGGTGTGGGGGGGTGCTGCGGACAGGAAGCCAGAGAGTGGAGCTGCGTTTGTGACTGCAGCTGTGTGGCTGCAGGACTTGTTTCAGGCCTCCTAGTGCTTGGCTGTAAAATTGCTCTTCCCTTCATTTGGGGGCAGTGTAGTGGTAAGGTGTGAAGTGCTCAGGATTAGCAGCTGGAGATCTGGAGCCTGGCTATGTGACCTCGTCCTGTGCTTTCCCAACCTGGACCCAAAGCCAGACACAGCTCAGGAAGTTAGTGTTTGTGAGAGTCTTTGGAGAAGAAAACCCATGTTCAGAGTCAGTTGCACCTGGGGCTAGTGGTTGTGTGATGTGAATGAGGGGTGGGGTTGGTCCAATTTGGAAGAATTCCTCGGAATTTACAAAGAACGTTTGAGACTGTCTTCAGGTATAAGAAAAGAATTGGGACATTTGATTCTAATGGCATTTGATGTTTGCAGGCATTGTTACGTGCTCTACGAGGGTGTATTGTGGAGGTATTGAAATGATTCGGGGCTTATGAAGCCGATGGGCTTAGGCGGGGAAGACGTTTGGGCTGAGTTTTGAGGACGGGCAGGATTAGGATGTATGTGGGGTTGAGAGTACGTTTCTACCCAGGTACTCGCCACACGGCATGTGGCAGTTCATGAAGCAGAGCAGGTGGGCTTTGTGCAGAGGGGTTGAGATTTTTTTTTTTTTTTTTCTTTTTCCAAGAAAACAAATGGAGACTCTGGGCTTATCCCTAAAAGGAGTAGCCAGGGGTGACTGGCCCAGCTTTGATGCTCTGAGGTCCGTCCCTCCAGCTGCTGTTGGGGCTCTGGGGCAGTGTGTTTTGCTCCTCACACACCATGTTCTGTCCAAGTGTGGCTCCAGATGTCTTCCTTGTAAGCAGCAGCAGCTTTCAAAAAAATCTAAACCTATTAAATCAGAATAAAAGGGAAATGAACTTAGAAGATCCCCAAACACAAAAGTGGTCTGGCATCTAAATTCTAGGTTCTAATGCTACTAGCATTGGCTGTCCTACTCTATTTCTGATATGGTGGAGACAGTTTTGCACGTCCAGCGTTCCTGTTTCCTGCTTTTCAGCCCCCAGCATGTTTCTGCCTGGAGGTGCTATCATCATATCCATCCCAGAGTGTTTCCTAGAAGAGATTTGTAAACCCTGGGTTTAAGGGGTGGAGATAAGTTTGAAGCAAAATTCGACAGGTGTACCTCACAGAAAGTGTGGGGTTGGTTCCAGACCGCCACAATAAAGCGAGTCACATGAATTTTCTTGTTTCCCTGTGCATACAGAAGTTATGTTTACACTATACTGTAGTCTGTTAATTGTGCAATAACGTGATGAGAAAGTTTGAAATATTGTTAGAATTAGCAAAATGTGGTATAGGGACGTGAAGTGAGCACGTGCTGTTGTAGAAACGGTGCCGATAGACTTGGTCTGTGCAGAGTTACCACAAACCTTCAGTTTGTAAAAGAACACAGTATCTGCAAGGCACAAAAAAGCAAAGCGTGATCAAGTGAGGGCTGCCCATGCGTAGAGGTACCGTAAGTAAAGCAGAGTGCAGTCGAGTGAGAGCTGCCTGTGCGTAGAGAGGTGCCGTAAGCACAGCAGAGTGTTGACAACAGTTGAATCTTCAGTGGAGGGCTGTGGGTGTGCGTTGTACTATTCCTTCAATTTTTTCTTTGTGTTTTAAACTTTTCAAGATTAAAAGGGGAAATTAAAGAATGAGCAGGGAGTTGGCAAACAAACTTACACTTCTGAGAAAAGCAGCAGCTCTGACTGGGAGGCTTTTGGAAAGTGCCTTTCTGATGACAGCAGTTCTTGCTTGGTGCTGCCTGTCATGTCTGAATTCCTTTAATCTCAAGATCTGTGAAAATCGATTCCCATGAGACACAACAGTTGGAAATTAGGCTGTATTCTAGGAAACCACCCCAAAACCATGACACCTCTTTCCATATGCCTCATGTTGTGTGTTCAGAAATTCTCTTTTGGAAGACGTGGATGGGCAGGAGCCCTGATGGGAGTGGGAACGGAAACCCGGCAGGGTGCTGGGAAGGAGAGGCCTGAGGTCAGGCCTCAGCAGCTCAGGGCTGCTTGTCTCCTTCATAGGTGTGATGGCTGCGAAGCGGTTCTGTTAGGCATCGAGCAGCAAGTCCTGAGAGCCAACCAGTGCAAAGAGAGCCACAGCCGGACTCAGCAGCAGGTAGAGACGGAGGTAAGAAAGGGGCAGGTACGCTTACTCCTTCGTGGTGCTGCTTTTTGCTTTGTTTTGGGAGTCTTGGTCTAGAGGAAAGGGAGCTCTGGTGGCATGGTGGGTAAGGCATTTGGCTGCTAACCAGAAGATCAGCAGTTCAAACCCACCAGCTACTCCGTGGCGGGGAGGATGAGGCAATGTGCTTCTGTAAAGATTTACGGTCTTGGAAGCCCTATGGGGGAGGGGTGTCTCTGTGAGTCAGAGTATTGACTCAACGGCAGTGGGTTTGGTTTGGTTTGGTTAGATGAAGTAAGCTTTCACCAACAAGCAGGCACTGGGCTAGGTGCTGGGACAGAGATGAGTGTGCCGTGTCTCTGCTCCAGGTGGTCTGTTTCCTTTCTGGTTCCTGGTCAGCAGAGTGATCAGGCATGGAGGGCAGAGAAGGTTGGGCTTCCTCAGTCCACATGCACCGTGCAGCTGTCGAGCCAAAGAAAACAAGTTGTGGGGCGAATCTTTTTTTTTCAATTGTTATTTGGGTGAAAATTTACAGAGCAAATTCACTTTCCATACAGTAGTTCACATACACTTTGTCTCATGATATTGACCACAATTTACCACAAAGCAGCAGCTCCCCTCCCACTTCCTCCCTATAGTTACCTCTTCCCTGTGTCCATCCCTCCATGCACTCCTACCCCCTGAGCTGTCTCCCTGTGCATAAACTGCCCTTCTTTCTCCCATGATTGTTCTCTCCAAGGAGTGTATCTATCTCAGGGAGATGTTTAACTCATATACCTGTCTATTGTTGGCTGGAAGCCACAGGCATGGTTTCAATTCCAGACCTGAAGGGCAGCTAGGGGCCATAGTCTTGGTGGTTCCACCAGGCTTTATCAGACCAGCAAACTTGGTCCCTATGGGGTGAATCTTAATAGAAAGACGGTGTTTACTGAGTGAGGGCAGGTGTGCTTGGCAGGGTAGTGTGGCTTTAAGATCTGTATCACTCCATTTTTTAAACTGTGTGGTAGGGGTTGTCGTTAGGTATCGTCGAGTCATTTCCGACTCATAGCGACTCCATACACTGAAGAATGAAATACCGCCTGAGCCCGCATGGGCTCCATGATCCTTGCTATACTTGAGCCCATTGTTGTAGCCAGTCTGTCAATCCATCTTGTTGAAGGCCTTCCCCTCTTTTGTCGACCCTCCACCTTACCAAGCATGACATCCTTCTCCAGGGAATGGTTCCTTCTGCTAACATAACCAAAGTAGGTGAGACGAAGTCTAGTCATTCTTGCTTCCAAGGAGCATTTCGGCTGCACTTCCTCCAGGACAAATCTGTTAATTCTTTAAGCAGTCCACGGTACTTTCAACTTTCTTCGCCAGCACCATAACTCAGAAACATCGACTCTTCGGTCTTCCTTACTCATTGTCCAGCTGTCACGTGCATATGAGGTGATTGAAAATATCATGGCTTGTGTCAGGCACACTTTAGTCCTCGAGACATCCTTGCTCTTCAGCACTTGAAAAAATTCCTTCATGGCTGACCTGCCCAGTGCTACACGTTGTCTAATGTCCTGACTGCTGCTTCCATTGGCTTCGATTGTAGAACCAAGCAATGTGAATTCTTTGACCACCTCAATCTTTTCTCTGTTTATTGTGATGCTGCTTATTGGTCCAGTTGTGAGGATTTTTGTTTTCTTTATATTGAGATGTAAT